GAAAGCCTTCTACATATCCACGAATATCACACCTGTGAGGTTGCACTCATACTTCGCTCTAAGCCAGCGATTAGCAGCTTGCACAAGAGCGTCCTCCGTACTGTGGTTCTTCCTGTACGCAAACTGCGAGTCAGGGAGAATGCTGTGATCGGTCAGAAAGGATGTGAGCTGAACTTTGACGATCTTCTAGAGGAGCCGAGGAACGACTGATAGTAGAGAAATAGGTCGATACGCAGTAGACTGACAAGGATCAAGACTGCCACCTTTGAATAGCGGCGACACATTAGCAATTTAAATTGATGGGGAACACACCCCTGACATAGCGAAGTATTGAAAATCATGCTGAGCGAGGGAGCCGCCAGTATTGGTGCCGAGTTTCTAAGGACAATACAAGTACCCGGTAAGTAGTTATCCTCATCGTTTCTTGATGTCCGGTGCCATAATAATTCATTGTGTAATTCGCAGTTGCTCTTCTTGGTCTCTCAATTCCCTGCCTATTTGTTGGTTTAGGTGGCGGCTCCGGTGGAGGCAATGGTACTCGCGGCGGTACTGGATCCACCTCCTCATTGCGTCGTTTGGCAGCGACTAGAGCTGCATGCTGCTGGGTGCACTCTTGTGTTGTTAGAGTGTCTTGCGTTGTGTCCGTAAGGAGCTCCGGTGCATTCGATGTACATGCAGCTACTAGTGCTCCATCAGGTAGCGAGTCTCTCTCTCTCTCTCTCTCTCTCTCTCTCTCTCTCTCTCTCTCTCTCTCTCTCTCTCTCTCTCTCTCTCTCTCTCTCTCCCTCTCCCCTTGAAATTCGCTTCCATAGAATTGGGCACCATTGCCCGTTTGGCCTTGCGAAGTAAAATAAATATCAACAACAATCAACAACAACTCCGGACCTGTTTCTGGCCACGGGTCCAGTGCATTCGGCCGTAGGAAATGAGGATACCCTCGCTGGTGGCAGCAATTGTACCAGCAACGGCTGTGGTTCAGGATTCTTGGGTGGTCTGCCACGCCTGGGACGCAGTGCCCGTGCTGAACCAGTCAACATGTGAAGGGGAACATGCTGCTTGATACGTGCGTTCAGATGTTGAAGGGTCCTACCAACGTACCGATTACCACATTGTCGGCTCTCAAATTGGTATACTACTTTAGAAGTGAGTTGGGTTGGTAGGACATCCTTCCTCACCATGAACGCACGTACCGTTGTGAACACAGGAACGAAGTGCACCGCGAAGTAGGTTTGTTGGAAAATGTGTCCGGACTGCACGGCACATAGATAATGACACGTTCCCTTTCCACGGGAGAGATAAATACATTTGACATTTCTCCGGGCCAAACAGTACTTCATTCTGTTGTATGTTTTGGTTCATTAGTTTGTTCAGTAGTTCTTCGGGATATCCGTTCTTGGGAAACACTGACTTCAAGAAGTCAAGTTCTTCTGCAAGTTTCGGCCGAGAGCAAAATTAATACGTTTCGCTCTATCCACTAAGTTGCGCACTAAGTTTATCTTGTATTGATATGACCAATACGAATCGAACATTATGTAGTACAGGCCGATAAAAGATGGATTTCTGTAAACAGATGTTACTGTACCCTGACTAGACTTCTGCACAAGAACATCTAGGAAGGAGAACTTGTTGTCTTGTTCGTGTTCACAAGTAAACTGTATGGATGAGTGTAAGCCATTACGAATATCAAGGAACGCCTGACTCCCCTCAAGAGTGCCGAAATATGTAAACGAGTCGTCAACAAAACGGCAATGTAACGCAAGCCAGGACGACTCAGCAATCAAAGACTTGCAATAACCAACAAACACATTCGCTAAGACTGGACCTAACGGTGACCCCATAGCGACACCATCAATTTGTCTATACATAATTATGTCATTGAACGAAAACTCAACACCGGTCGTAACGAGCAACATAAGTTTCGGAACGCCGACTCAGGCATCCATGGAGTGTTACTTCATCATTACGGTGTAGCACATCAAGGCTAATATTGATCGTTTCCTCCAGTGGGACGTGGCATGGATCAGCAGGGTGCCAGGGTGCCAGGGTGCCAAATACAGTAACTTTGACTAGCGTATGCCATCAATATCCTGTTTGGCTGTTGTCGCTTCGGCTTATGCGAAAGCTATACATGCTGTGTATATCTACATTGCATTGATGCCAACGCGGAAAAGCTTCTAATAATAATATACTAGCGTATCACTTACATGTGAACGACAGTCAATTTTCTTCCGACTTTTCCCTTCCTCCATTTCCTCGAATACTAGTGGATGTTATTAACTTTTAAGAACACTGTACAATATTTAATATTGTGTGTATCGTTCTGCTCGTACTTATACCTACATGTGCACACGGATGCGAGATTACCTCCCGAAGACAATAAAATTAATGAAAATTAATAATGATCAATCGGTGCAAGTACAGATTCAGACACGTTTCTCGTCGATGCTCAGAGTCATCAGTGAATCTCCATTGAATGCGGCATAAACAAAGGTAACATGCACGCCCGATTGAAGATACCCTTGCAAAGTAGTAACAAAAAATGAAGTACAGGGTTAGGAAAAAGGACCAAGGAACTACAAGTTACGCTAAAAGTGTTCACTAACACCAGTAGTTACTAAACAATCAGCTCATGCGATAACATTGCACGATACTGACCTACGGTACTGACGTTTAGCTGATTGTTTAGTTACTTGTGGTGTTAGTGGACATTTTAGCGAACTTGTACTAAGTTGTAGTTCCTTGGTCCTTTTTTCTTTTCTATATTTATCCTTGGCTCTCCATCCGAGTCCATTCAAGTACAGGGTTGATTACCAATTCCATCAAGATATGTGAAGACCTGTGGCGTCTCTGGATTTGCCACGGTCAGCAATTTTTATACGCAATCGAATGCAGGAAAAGGAAATGTAATGATCAACCATTCTACAAACTTAGCGCAGAGTCAGTGAGCCATTGCAGGTAAATTTAAAACGCATTGCAACATTCCTTTACGATGAGGAGATAACAATACTGCACTACAGTCATGAATACAGCAGCAGTCATAATGGCTGTGTAGGATTAGTACAATACGTGTGGAACGTTGCTCAACAACAGGCTACTGCTCCAGTCCAATCTCATGTCCACTTCAAAGAGGAAAGCGCCAGAGCCGATACCATAACGAGGTCAAGCACCCACACGTCCTGCTATTCCCACCTCCTAGTGATGACGGGCGATAGCAGACAGTCCGTTTCTGCGTCTAGCTTTCGAAGACAATCTGGGTTGTCAGCGCGTTACGTGACTACAATGTGGGTGGGTACTGTTTGTACAGCCTTACGGACCGTCGGTGAGACTAATACTCGAAGAAGACTCGAAATTTACTTGCCCCGAAGATACAGCGGAAGACACCCTCAATCCACAAAAGAAAACACGGAGACTGAGGACTCCTGTTGACTATGTATGCACAGGACAATGCACGAGTACTGCCTGGCAACAGCGCCTAGTGGTCCAGATAAATATCACTGGGATGTTTTGGGTCGGCCCTAATCTTGACAGTTGAACTCTGACAATGGCAAGGTGACAGATTGGTCACGACTTGACTAGTCTCCCCAGGGCACTCCGACAAGGTCTGTCTCGGTCTTGCTGAACCTCTTCCAACCATTGAACCTTTGCTGCTGGGCATATCATGGCGAGCAAAGTAAATAGATCCGACGTACACTATCATGGAGACACGTAGACACGCATGTGACCCCATGTGTCGGCGTTACCTAACTCCATTCGCCCATCTCAGCTTACCGGCATATCATTCGTTGCTGTTGACATGCACAAACAAGATCGAGAAGAGCCTGTCAGCGCTGCTCGTCTCGCCCGGTTTTCACGGCAGGTGGAACACCGGTGCACCAGTGATCAGGCATTGGGCCATTGCCGGCATTAGCAGGGAGTCGTATAAACCTTTTATACGACTCCCTGACCACTAGTAATACATGCGTGAGAACTGCTCTTGTGCATAGTCGAGATACGCAAGTAGTTGGATGTCACAATCTCGCATCAGCTCTGCCTCATGCTCAGCTCAGCTCTTGCTTCAAGCGATGTGGCTGATAGTGATAGTGATCATGGTGATAGCAACGACCTGCGCCAACCAAACTCCAAAGCCAGGCTGTCTGGGGGGTATGCATGCTAGAGATTGCACCACCACCTGCCTAGTGGCAGTGGACCAGTCAAAACCCATGCCACTAACAGTAACATGGTGTTTTACTGATACTGACAGTCATTCTAGCTTGGTACATGTAGGTCTACATGGAGCTACCCGGAGGCAGAGCATAGCCTGTTGCGGAAAAATACGAAATATAAATTAATTTTTAGCCGAAATGTCTACCCTGCCCGGGCCACGGTCTACATAAATGGACCGTAGCGCAGATCGTGGAGGCTCTAGCCTATTGTCGGACACACACATATGGACGATCTACACGTAGACCTACAAAGCTACATACTAGTATTAGTCATTGTGTAGATCTACATGCATTTCTCGCAGAGCTACGCCTCCCTGTTGTCTTGAGGCTGTTCTGTATGCGGTCGGCCAGCAGTAGATTCGACCATTTTGTTGTGGCTTGAGAGTATTGCCTAAAAACGGACCCAACCTTGATGACTTACGACTTTGGACTTTGAACTCGCTGGCTTGTTTCCCCCAAGGCAACGCTACAAAAGACCAAAGGAAGAAATCGAGCGTAAGCCAGCACATCAAATCAGTGCTACTGGCAGTACTGCATTAGACTTTAGAGCAGTACTTGGCGTGGGAATTTTGCCTTACTGGATCATGGAACCTTGAGCGGTCCCGACGAACACGAAGCTTGCAGAGTGCTGGAGTGACAGGTCGGACCGCATGAAAGGCCGAGTCCCGAGCTACCTGTCGAGTTGCGAGAGCAGTATTGATGGAACAAGTCCTAGCGATCGGACAGCTCTGCCATGACTCATGAGCCACCGTCAACTCCTCGACAATATGCACAAAAACAAGAACGACGTCTGCTTTGGATCACAACCGCCTGGGTGCATTGTAGCAGCAAGTCACAACGGAGAAGCTGCTGCTGCTGGTGCTGTTCTTCATTTCCTCAATTGGCCATTTTGTAGGAATATAGGATGCTCTCAGTGTCCGTGGCCGTGCTGTGCCTCGTGGCAGGAGCGAGTGCACAATTCGGTACTAGTAAGTATTAGTTAAAATGTAATCTAGTTACACTAAGTCTTGTACCATATTAGTTTTGTGAAACTTCGAATTACTAGTTCAGCCACTGGTTGTCCCATGTACAGTTTTGTTGCAGTGCAGCTATCACATTCTCTTGCGCTCCTTGGCTTGAGTCCTGACCTGGACTTGATTGCTAAGTAATGGCTGGGACAGTGGGGGTGCTGACCATCTGCCCCATAATATGCTGGGCCCATGCTGAGTGCAAGACATGGGCCCTAGTGCCCCCCCCCCCCCCCCCACCCACAAAGACCCTTTTCCCTACTCCCAATAATGGTGCTGACTTGTTTTCACAGGGCGAGAATACGACAGTCAGTTAGATGCCGTCGTGAGGCCCTGTGGAGCATAACGTGGTGGAGAAGACTTTGAGTGTGGTCTTTCTGCCCTCAGTGCTGGATTGGGACTGTTGACATTCCCTACCATCCTCCTCGAACACCATTGAATCATAATATTATGGTGAAACCGATCCAGCATTAGCAGGGGGGGGGGGGGGAGGGGGAGGGGGGGGGGAGATCCTATAAGGTTTTGGACCTGTAGCTTCACATCTCAGTGTGACCAGTGTGACAGGGGAACACTCAATACTCCATGTGCTCAGTTTACACGAGGAAAAGACGTGTCATTATCAGCATGTTGATGTGCTGACCAACACTAGAATCACAAGAACAACATGTGTACCTTTTCTTTTTTCGTTTGACATGCGTGTGAGTGATGGGAATACGAGATTCACTATTCTGCGCAATCATACCGGCAAAGCCAAAGGCAATGTGTGTCAAAGATATAGATTGTTAGCCCCATCCCTCACACAAACAAGTCAACAAAGAGGCATCTTTGGATTGAGGAGTGCTGGTTTCGAAACAACTGGTTTGAAGCTCAAAGTAGAGCTGCTGTTAGCTCAGAGCAGAGCTGCTGTTAGCTCAGAGCAGAGCTGCTGTTAGCTCAAAGTAGAGCTGCTGTTAGCTCAAAGTAGAGCTGCGGTTAGCTCAAAGTAGAGCTGCTGTTAGCTCAAAGTAGAGCTGCGGTTAGCTCAAAGTAGAGCTGCTGTTAGCTCAAAGTAGAGCTGCTGTTAGCTCAAAGTAGAGCTGCTGTTAGCTCAAGGTAGAGCTGCTGTTAGCTCAAAGTAGAGCTGCTGTTAGCTCAAAGTAGAGCTGCTGTTAGCTCAAAGTAGAGCTGCGGTTAGCTCAAAGTAGAGCTGCGGTTAGCTCAAAGTAGAGCTGCTGTTAGCTCAAAGTAGAGCTGCGGTTAGCTCAAAGTAGAGCTGCTGTTAGCTCAAAGTAGAGCTGCTGTTAGCTCAAAGTAGAGCTGCTGTTAGCTCAAAGTAGAGCTGCTGTTAGCTCAACGTAGAGCTGCAATGCTAAATGGATGTAATATAGCGCAAGGCAGAGCCGCAGCAAATAGCTAGATAACACCAGTTGTGAGAGTGGACCCGATTAGTGGGTACGATAATTATGATGGTGTGAATAAGTTGGTTAGGGAGGGATGGTGGGAAAAGAAACACTGCTGAAGCACGATCCGTTGTCTGGAAGAGCACAACAGGGCAAGCAAGATTTGTTTTTCTTTCCGCAAAATGGGCTGGTGCCATTTGTGATTACGCAGCAAAACAAAGCGCATGACGTCAGTCTTGAATGCAGTACAAAGCAATGCAGTGCAGTGTGTGCGCTAGTTCGGATTGTTGCTAACAAGTACTAGCACAGCTAGTACACCATTAGCCCCATCCCTCACACAAACAAGTCAACAAAGAGGCATCTTTGGATTGAGGAGTGCTGGTTTCGAAACAACTGGTTTGAAGCTCAAAGTAGAGCTGCTGTTAGCTCAGAGCAGAGCTGCTGTTAGCTCAGAGCAGAGCTGCTGTTAGCTCAAAGTAGAGCTGCTGTTAGCTCAAAGTAGAGCTGCGGTTAGCTCAAAGTAGAGCTGCTGTTAGCTCAAAGTAGAGCTGCGGTTAGCTCAAAGTAGAGCTGCTGTTAGCTCAAAGTAGAGCTGCTGTTAGCTCAAAGTAGAGCTGCTGTTAGCTCAAGGTAGAGCTGCTGTTAGCTCAAAGTAGAGCTGCTGTTAGCTCAAAGTAGAGCTGCTGTTAGCTCAAAGTAGAGCTGCGGTTAGCTCAAAGTAGAGCTGCGGTTAGCTCAAAGTAGAGCTGCTGTTAGCTCAAAGTAGAGCTGCGGTTAGCTCAAAGTAGAGCTGCTGTTAGCTCAAAGTAGAGCTGCTGTTAGCTCAAAGTAGAGCTGCTGTTAGCTCAAAGTAGAGCTGCTGTTAGCTCAACGTAGAGCTGCAATGCTAAATGGATGTAATATAGCGCAAGGCAGAGCCGCAGCAAATAGCTAGATAACACCAGTTGTGAGAGTGGACCCATGAAACCAGCACTCCGTTAGCTAAGCACTATTGACGCACAGCAAGGGTCAATTTATGTCAGCACAGGCAAGCATTGCGCAGCTAGAGTTCAGTAGCTCATTACTCACCCGAGTTGGGGATCATGGCATCCATGGCACGGCAGCAAGCCGGGACGATAGCTGGCGCTTAGCGCTTGTTGTAGTCCGGATGTAGCATAGACACGCATCGCTCTTTCCACTGACCTGCCACTCGGAAGAAGGAGTCGGGGCACTAGCCATAGCAGCGGTGGTGGCTGCACCAATGTAGACCGAATGCCCGGAGTAGTTCGACTGGGATGGTACACCGGCCGCAGCGACAAGAGACCATACTGTTACTGTGAATGACTGCCTGGTCAGCTGCTGTCTGTTCGAGAGTACGAACAAGAGTTGCTCTGGTCCCTCGCGACGAGTGACAAATGGGTAGCTAACAATGGCACGGACTGGGCAGTACGGCGGTACAGACGGGCCAATGTCACTAGTAACGCCTTTACCGAATGGGTCCGTCTTGGATGAAAGCAGGAAGAGTTGCAAGCGTCCGTCACCAGGGGAGCTAGTACAGCCCCGTGTGATGCCATTAGTGAATTCAGCACACCGAAGAAATCCAAAGAAGCAGCATGGCGGCTTGGTAGAGCAGCTTGTCATGGCCATTCAGGATACTACTTTTCCGGCGTGCATCCGTCAGGTGTCGTAGGATTGGCATAGTTATAGGAAGGCGAGGGGTGAGTACAGCCGTACCATGGCATCGCTGGATGCCCTTCAACACCCTCTTCAGAAGCCACGCATCTACTAAGGGGCCGGCAAACCCATTCTCAAGGTGGGCTTTATGCACCGCACTCGCATACACAGATACAGTTCAGGGCACGCTGATCATAGTTCATGCATGAATGTGTGTCCAGGAACGATGACTCGGGCAGCAAAAGTGAGCTTCCCCAGGAGGGACTCGAGTTGACGCTGGCCGATGCTGCGCTCGCTGATAGTAGCCATGAGTGGCGCACGGATCTCGGACAGCTTGTCCTCTGGTAGCCGCAGTCTAGGAAAATACCAAGGTCAATGATGGTGATGGCCCTCGAGCTGGGATGGAGCAAAGAGGAGTGCCGAGATACGTGAATGCCCGGAGGGGGGTGGTGAGTTGCTGGTTGGCTGCAGCCAAACCAGTGGAGATATCGAGAAAGTCATCGAGGTAATGAAGCCGGTGATCTATAGCAAACTCGTGCTGCATGATCCAGTTGACTGCTGTGGCTACTGAGTCAAAGACGGCTGGGCTGGAGCGGAGGCCGAAAGGCAGAAAGCGCTCGTAGTAGTAGGAGCCTTCCCAGCGAAGTCCTGACGGCGGACTGGGATCTGCCGAAATGCACTGCGTACATCGAGCTTGGACAAATACACAGGCTGTGGGCATGACATGATGATGTTGATCGCGTTGTCAATGCTCGCGTAGTGCAGAGAGAGCGGCTCGGCAGGAATGCTGTCGTTCGCGCCGGTGCCTTCCGGACTAGACAGATGGTGGATCATTCGCAGCTTGCCGTTCTTTTTGGGGATGGCACCAATACCAGAGCGGCGCATGAACTGAAATGGAGGTGACGGAAATGGGCCTGTGGTCTCGCTGCGGGCGCAGGAAGCAGCTAATTGCTCGGATATAAATGCCGAGTGAGTGAAAGCCAAGGGTAGATTATTAGAGAAAACCGAAATGTCGTGTTGGCCGGCAGATCCAAGAGTAAAGCCACGGCGCAGCCCATGGAGAACATACGCAACGCATTATTGATATGAGTGGTTACGTAACAGGCGGGCAAAGTGGTCAGCTAGCAGTGTGGTGTCTGCAGAGTGTATAGGAAAGAAGCTACGTACCGAGTCAAGCTATTCGGTAGCCATTCTGCTAGGAGCGGCGGGGTGGCCGATTGGCTCCGCGCTGCTGCTGGTTGCACATGATGCATGGGTGGTCCTTGCCACACTGGCTGCAGGTGTGGGAGAAGCGGCACGACGACGAAGAACAGCGACCTCCATTGAAGTTGCGGCAGATTTCTTGGCTGTCGCTGGGATGGTTGCGACCACTGGAGGTAAATGCTGCTGGCTTGGGGACGAAAAGGACACAAACCGCCCCTGGATGGGCCGTCTTACATTGAGCGCATTTTGGGTGTGCATGGCCTGTGACAGCTATCTGCCATAGGTTCACGTCGATGGTGTCCAACCTCTTCGTGCCTGGTTACTGGGCCACGAGCAGCCGCAGCTGGCGGTCGTACTCTAGCCACGCGCTTGGGAAGAACTGGCGGTTAGCAGTCAGGATCAACTGCTGGTACGCAATCAGTTCAGCAGTTCAGCAGTGCGGTGTAGGGCAGCAGCCGTGATAACAGACATGTATGTGGTCCATGCCTCGAGCCGGGTAGTTACATGATTGTATAATTATCGTGAACCTTGCGACGCACCTGCTTCGCGTACGGTCATCCGACTCAACGATATTTAGCTGGCTATCGTTATTCGGGCTGTGCACCAGCCGGAATGTTGGGCTGGAAGTGTGCAAGAATTTCAGGCAACCAACTTGAAAAATCTACGAACTCCCCTCGCAAGATACGTTCTTGCACAGCCTTGGGCACAGCTGGTGCAGGTGGCTGATCGGGTGGGTTACAAGGGCTTGGCCTGGCGTAGTGGCGGCAGCAGCCGCATTGCCTTGGCCTTGGGTGAGGAGCGGCACAATGCTCTCCGATAATAATAAAATGGCGGCCGACAAAGCCGACTACACCTCGTCACGTAGATCTACGGGAGCGCAGATCCCATGTTGAGCCCGCGTCACCTGAGCTGGCGGAGGAGGCATTGGTGCAAGTCGGGCTTCTGGGCTCGCGAGCCGTGTCCGCACTGTCATGTTGCTGGTTCTCCTGGCCGGAGCAGACCTCACTACCAAGGGCTAGTGTGCCAGCAAACGGTCCTGTAAAATACTTTTACTAAGTTTCCTTTCGGATTCAAGCCGCGCTGAGAAGGCTCGCCGCGGGGGCTTGGCAAGGCATTGCCTTGACAGTGTCGACAGTTAGGTCAGACATACTGAAGAAATACAGTGTCGAGGTGACACTCGGGCTGGCAGCAAAGCTACGAAAGGAAAAGAAACACTGCTGAAGCACGATCCGTTGTCTGGAAGAGCACAACAGGGCAAGCAAGATTTGTTTTTCTTTCCGCAAAATGGGCTGGTGCCATTTGTGATTACGCAGCAAAACAAAGCGCATGACGTCAGTCTTGAATGCAGTACAAAGCAATGCAGTGCAGTGTGTGCGCTAGTTCGGATTGTTGCTAACAAGTACTAGCACAGCTAGTACACCATTATCATCCGTGTATTGACAAGGCCTTGTTGGCTTCTCTGTATTTCTTGTGCACTTGAAGCTGATCTTGGATCAGGTGATGGAAGAATTCGGGACAAGGACGCACCTAGTAAGTGGATGTGTGATGTGTGATGTGCGAATGGAATGTCACATGTACTTGTCTAGTACATCTCAATCTGTGCACTGTTGTCAAGTATGCACTTCTTGTACAGTCATACCTCATTTATCCGTGGACACTGCCCGTAGCTTTTGAAATGTCCGTAACTCCGAATCACATGCATTTTGATGGGGAAAGCCCATAGATATGGCATATGGTGTCACGATGCCCACAGAAAGTGACAAAATAGTACTTAGTGATATTTCCACTAAAACTCACCCAAAGGGTGCCCGATAGACCGAAGTGCCCGTAACTTTGGTGGTGTCCGGATAACTGAGGCATAAGTGCATTGGTATGGCTGAATGGTGCGCAAGATAAGATTGATACAGTCATGCCAAGTACAGTCATTTGTATAATATGATGTGAACACCTTTTTTTGGATAAGTGATCACCTCAAATAACAAATTATGAAATAACATTTGAACTTTTCAAGAACAGACAAGCAAGAATGCTCAAGAAAAACGAATGGCACGGGGAGGTCGTTGATACATTTACAAGGTTAGCTGTAGCATTGATTGCATTGTAATAATATCAATTTACTCTGCACATTGTAATTTTCATTACAGAGGAATGCCGGGTGATTGAGATAGCGAACGGCGCAGCATTCAAGGAGGGAACACGGAGTGAGCTCTTCTCCAGGCACACTGTCCAGGAAAAAGAAGGTGTCACGTATGAGTGCGATGAGGGTTACAACCTGGTTGGAAACAGACTACTGACCTGTGTGAAGGAGACCGAGCAATTTAATTTTCCACCTCCAAGATGTGAACGTAAGCTTTTACAAACTGATATTACAACATGTAGAATTTTGCCAGTGAAATCCAGCTCTCCCAGAAAGAGAGACAGAGACAGAGACAGAAAGAGACAGACAGACAGACAGAAAAAAGAGAGAGAGAGAGAGAGAGAGAGAGAGAGAGAGAGAGAGAGAGAGAGAGAGAGAGAGAGAGAGGGAGAAAAAGAGAGAGAGAGAGAGAGAGAGAGAGAGAGAGGGAGAAAAAGAGAGAGAGAGAGAGAGAGAGAGAATGTGTGTTTGCCTGTAAGTGTGTGTGTGTGTGTGTGTGTGTGTGTGTGTGTGTGTGTGTGTGTGTGTGTGTGTGTGTGTGTGTGTGTGTGTGTCTTCATTTGAGCTGGCCATCTACTGGGAATATTTCTAAAGGTAGTACATGTCTGCTTTCTATTGTGCCAGCTGATTGTGTGGTAGACAACAAGAAAGCAATCTTTCCTTCTTAGGCCCTGACCATATGTTTCATCTCCGGTCCGGGATGGTTGGCAAGCAATCTCCACATGCAATCACTGATGATCACTCTAGCTCAGCCTAGGCTGGTCAACAGTATCAGGGACAGGCGGGCTAGCGGTGTGCATCTGGCATCTGGATCATGTTCGCGTGCCTAACATGTGTAGTGCACTACATAGCAAACGGCTAGACGGCATTTCAGGTGCTGACCCGGGACCCGGTTGGCTGGGCCAGCTCATTTGCCCTGTGAATGCGTGGCGATTTTTTGGTTTGTTTGCGTACATGTACATACCGGAGATTCCGGATGCAGATTGACTAGCCTGCCTGTTGGCCATCCTGGACTGGAAATTAGACTGCTCTAATTTCAGAAATTTTCCGTGCTCAATATTTTCGGTATGAGGGCAACAGGCCAGTTTAGGTGAACAGAAATTTTCGGTACAGAGAAGCATTTCCCTATTGGAGTATGTGTGTTAGTGTTTGTTCGGTGTATTGAAATTTTAGGTGTGAAACAGACGCACCGAAAGTACCGAAAATAAAAGTACACCGAAAATTTGTGAAATTAAAGTATATTATTATTATGATCACGCCCTAACTGCCTAAGTGTGAGTGCAGAGCGCAAAGCCCATAATGACAGGCCTTGTAGTGACATGCAGTGTGATTGGTGTGCACTAGGGAGTCGTAGCATCTAGGAAGATGACCCGAGACCCAGGACCCGAGGCCCTAGTATCCAGAATTATGTTATATGTTTTCATTTCATTTTGTTTTATTTTTTTTGATTTTCCAAAGGCAAATAAATGCCTATCATAGAAATCTCAAGGGTGAAAATACAGTGTTTGTTAAAAGAATTGGAATTTGACCCCGGGTTTGGAAGTTCTGCGTGACCCGTGATCTACTTAACCTGCTGACCCCAAACACGGCCCAGACCAGTGATGTCGTGTGTGGGTGTGGGTATAATTCGGCCCTGCACGAAGGGAGACTGAAAAGGACAGCCCGGGAGCAACACCCACATCATTCCATATTAAGTCATCCGTGTCGTCTCCCTAGATGCTATGACTCTGTGTAAAAGAACCACATGTCATACACAAATGTGGGCACATGGATACAAACTGTCCTTGTGAACCGGTGCCTTTGTCACAATAATTATGATATTAAATATATTATATTGAACCAGCTTTTGTCTTGATGCTCTGTGGACGATGTGTTTACCTCTTGTAGCTGTTGTGTGTCCCGATCCGGGAGTGCCACTGAATGGCGGACGGGTCGGTGATGTGTTCACGTATGGCAGCACTGTCACCTTCTCCTGTGACCGTGGCTACACACTGAGCGGCACTATTCGTCGCACATGCCGCGCCGAAGGCATCTTCTCCGGGTCCGAGGTCACCTGCATACGTAAGCAGCTGCACAGCAAATTGTCATGTGATGCTCTTGTATCTCGTATCTTGTGTCTCTTGCCATCTATTGGTGCTGGTTTGTTTCTTTCGTTGTTTTTCACATTACAGAGATTTCATACAGTTCTAAATTACGTTCTACAAGTACAATAATTGGTACTAACCAGAGAGACGTCAGAGTTTTTTTAAAGGTATTGGACGGTGTTTCCTAATCCTTTCATCTCTTTGTTTTGCGATAATTTTCCATTGTGTACTACACAGCTGTGGACTGTGGTGATCCTGGTGCGCCCGACAATGGCGCAAGGGCATTGAATCCCAACACACGATTCCCGTCCACTGTCGCGTTTACTTGCGACCGCGGATTCAATCTGCAAGGCGCTCGCGGTGCGGCATGCCAGCCAGATGGCACCTGGTCAGAGCCAGTACCCAAGTGCCAACGTAAGCAACAGTCACCAACCTAATGTGCACACACATTACTTTCGGTTAACAATGACGTGTCAATTCACACCTATTCTTCGTGCTGAATGGTCGATGGCTTAGCAGTATCTCTAAACTTTGCAATACTAGTGTTTTTACGGTATGTGCTGCATTCACCTGTGCTAGACAATATTTCTCTGAAGAACTAGACGGCTGGTTAGAGCAGGGCACTGAGGACGGCACAGCAGCGAAGAGCAACACGGTAGTTGTAGAGAATGGAAACCATCATCGTCTAGCTTCTTCTTCATTGCCTCTTCATATCCCAAGTTTAAAGTGCTATGGAGAAAATAATGTACGACTATTGTGTATCTGCAACATATGGTTATGGTTTTTGCAGTTGTTGGATGTTGCGAGCTGGAAGCACCTCGCAATGGTGCCAAGATTGGTCAAGGTACGGACTACAACCAAGTTATCGGATTCATCTGTGACGATGGCTTCTCCCTGGTGGGGCCAAGGCAGCGGACATGCCAAGTCGATGGTACCTGGACGGGTGAACCTGTTCGATGCGAGCGTAAGTTACCACGGCCGGGTATACATGTAACTGCCTGAAGTATTTTGCCTCCTGCTACGAGATACACGTCTTCACTGGCAAGAGGGTGTCGAGGGACGTCTCAACCTGTGTAGGATACAGTCCACTGTTTAGTCAATGGGCATCCACAGCCTCCTGATGATTGCATTGTTGCATGCAAATTCGGGTTAGAAAGGGAGAGTTTGGCCCCAAAGTAATATGTCTGCGTCACAATATATGACTGGCAATTCCATCCTGGCCGTATGTTTGTTTCTGACAGCTATCACATGTCCTGTACCACGCACCATTGACAATGGTGGGTACACGGCCACTACACTGAACGTCGGAAATGAAGTTGATTTCTACTGCGACACTGGATACCACCTGAACGGGGACATGAAGCTCACCTGTCTTCCCAATGGCAAATGGGATAGACCTCTACCGGAGTGTATTGGTAAGTCTGCAGCCGCACTCTAACCATAACCAGCTGTTATACCTATATTTGTCACTGTACATGATGGTACTAATATGGCATTGCGCGTGTTTGATTACGCACCATTCACTGAGTCCTTTCTAGAATTCTTTACGGTGCATGCACCGTTCGATTACACAAATTTCGTCACCAGAATCGACGGAATCCAATTCCGTCAATTCTGAAGAGAGATCGGAATTTCTAATTCTCCCGCCAGAATTGAAGCACTTGACATACACGCCATGTTAGGTTCATGTGCGCGCGAGGGTGTGCGGGATCCCATGTGATCCTCTTTTACGATTGTCACATGTAGTCGTTCGTTTACATGGCCGCAATCTGTTCATTCTGGTCATTCGAGAATTGCAAAACCTGGGTCCGGAATGTGTAATTGAAAGCGCCCATTGTACCATACTGAAAGATAATTTCTTTCTTCCTATGCTTGAAATCTGGTCGTCCATGTACCGTATGATCACGCTGTAATGGAGGTTCACCCTCCAAAAATGGCCAAGGTGTTTCATAGTACAAATTAGGGCTAAAACAATAAACAAATTAGGGTTATGTTGTTGGAATCCGTGTTTGTGCATGTTTTCGCCTAAGCGATGCATTGAGCAGCAGAATATATTATTCATCTCCAGCTCGTATCATTCTGTCAATCACCAATGTGTTTGCTGTGTGTTGGCCTTGTACAGTGGCAATGTGTGGTGATCCCGCCATGCCCGAGAATGGAGCTCGCCACGGCGAAGACTTTGAATTCCGCTCGTCGACCAGCTTCTCATGCGCCCGTGGCTATCGTCTCCTTGGCTCAACTGTGCGCTTCTGCCAGGCAAACGGATCATGGACCGGCTTACCAGCAATGTGCAACAGTAAGATTTTCTCAATACTGTTTAGCTACATATGCTTGGAGTAAGGTTGCTGGTGAGGTGCACGAGGTCAGCTTGGGAGCCCAGGTGGCGGGTAGTTAAAATTTCTGATTATCAAACTACTACTAGTGTGAAAATGTAGTTAAAAACTTGTGCCAGCCATTGTATCAATAGACTACGTGTGTTTGAAGATTTGGGTGTCAAGTTATTCCTCGGCGGGCTCGACGGAACAATACTCTATTGTATTACTAACTTTGTTGAAGTGGAGTACCTGCATATAGTACCTGGATATAGGAGAGTGATACTGGGCATATCCTCCATTGCATCCATTCTTTTCTCGCCTGTGCAGAAATTAGCTGTGGAGACCCAGGAACTCCAACGAATGGTGGTAAGACCCAGACAGGCACCGGTGTAGAAGACACAGTCGGCTGGACGTGCGATGACGGATATCGCATGGTGGGTGCCAACAATGCTATTTGCAGACCCAACGGAGCGTGGTCCATGCCCACACCCATCTGTGAACGTAAGACTAAGAGTTGTTCTTAGATCTATAATCTCGCCACATATCTGCTTTTGGGATAGTGTAGTGAATGGTGTGTGTGTACTGAACATGCCTATTTTCTTGCCATGTTTGAACAAGATGGTCAGTACATATGTGAACTTGATCTGTGGGTCCGATCTGATCTACTCAACCCCACTGGTTTGGGAGTTACATCTGACTCATTGGAGGACTGTGGCTTACCTACTGATGTGGACAAGTCAGTCCAACAGACTCTTATCATCCTGTCACGATAAAACATGGCGGTGATTGTCTGGTCTGCTGTTGTTGACTTAGGTATCATGTGCGCCGATCCCGGTACACCACTGTATGGCTCTCGAACTGGCGACAGCGTCTTTACATCCGGTGCTGATCTGAACTTTGACTGTAACCGTGGTTTCGCCCGGCAAGGTCGCCCAGCGATTGAGTGCATGCCCAGTGGTGACTGGAACTTCCCCATTCCGCTATGTGAAGGTAAGAAACGCATAGGGAGGGGGAGGGGATGAGAGAGAGAGAGAGAGAGAGAGAGAGAGGGAGAGAGAGAGGGGGGGGAGAGAGAGAGAGAGAGAGAGAGAGAGAGAGAGAGAGAGAGAGAGAGAGAGAGAGAGAGAGAGAGAGAGAGAGAGAGAGAGAGAGAGAGGAGAACTAATGTACAGCTTGCATTCCATTTGTCCTTCAGGTGTGGCTGTTTTTGCGCTACAGTCCAGAAAGCCAACTATTAATCCTTGCCGTCAGTGAATTTTTTTAACCATATTTACCGTGCACGAAAGTAAAAAAAGGTAGCCTGTTGCGTGGAAAGTGTCCCATGATTCATTCTTTGGTACTTCAGCTTGTTGCCTTCTGTTGTAATACCTTCAGATGTCTTGGGAATCGCTGTTGGGATTTCCATTGATGTGTTGAGAACCAATCAACCAGTTATGCAGTTTGGGTATCAGAGACTTAGCACACAACCTACATGTATGGGTCTAGCCTGTACAGTGCAAGTGCTTGAATTTTACGCTATGCTTGTGCTTAAAACACTACTGACATTCCGCTGTTCGTTGTGTGACTTTAGAAATGCTCTGTACCGAGCCGGGAACAATTGCTAATGGAGTACGTATCATCGCCGGCCTTGCCCTGGACGACACTACCAAGTATCAGTGTAATCCTGGTTACACACTGGTCGGGTCTGAGGAGCTGATGTGTGTCATGCAGCCACAGATCCTCGACCTGCCCAGCCGCCTCGACTGGGACAATTCACCACCTAGATGCGACAGTGAGTCACTACTTCACGAAAAAAACTATTATCTCACAAAGTGGTTTCGAGTGATGCAGAGCAAAAATGGGATGGGTTGCAATTTGTCTTCCGTAACTATCGTCACCTGAGTACTGTGGCAAAGAGTTGTCGACAAAGTCCACAGTCATATGGAAAAAGGAGTGAAGGGTGGAATTGCAGATACTTGCTGTAATGTGTCAACTCATTATTATGGGAATGCTGGTGAGCCGTACAATCATATTGGTGATACACTTACACATAAAATGTGACGGCACGTTGCCATTTGCCTGTGATTGTGTAGAGATTGAATGTCCCAACCCGGGTGCTCCGGCCAACGGCGACCGCCAAGGAAATGACTTCACTTTCCTCAGCTCGGTATCCTTTACTTGCAACGAAGGTTATGTCCTGGAAGGTAGTCCTGCTGCTATGTGCATGGCCGACAAGCAATGGTCCAGTCCTCGACCCACCTGCAGGCGTAAGTTGGAATAGTGACTGTTTTCTTTGTGGATCGTAGTAGAATCAGAGTAGCAAAACGAACAGGTAGCTGTGCATTCTGTAGGGCATGTTATACAGGTAGCTGTGCATTCTGTAGGGCATGTTATACAGGTAGCTGTGCATTCTGTAGGGCATGTTATACAGGTAGCTGTGCATTCTGTAGGGCATGTTATACAGGTAGCTGTGCATTCTGTAGGGCATGTTATACAGGTAGCTGTGCATTCTGTAGGGCATGTTATACAGGTAGCTGTGCATTCTGTAGGGCATGTTATACTTGATTCGAAGGAGGCAATCTGATACATGTGTATGTCGGTGAAGCCTACAGTATGGTTAGGTCAGACTGTACGACTGCTGCGCTCTGGAGAGTTTGTATAGGTTTTGTTTGGAACACACTTACCTTTATCGCATTATGTATTGGTGCGCAGACTGCTGTGGCATTGTGACAAATTGAACCGTGGGTTAGATGAATAGATGAAAGCAGCAGCTGGGGAGAGGGAGTAGTTCAATTCCCTTCAGAGCTGCTGCTCATCATTAAAAAATGATCTTTGATGTATATATATAATGTGACAATATGACAACGTGTGTAGTGTGTAGTACGACGATACAAGCTATGTAGAATTTTTGGTAGAGTGGAGGATTCATTTTTCATTCCCACGGTTTTCTTGTCGTTTCTGTAGCCGTACGATGCCATGACCCCGGTTCAATCGACAACGGAGTACGTCGTCTTGGCGGTACCATGTATGGTGACTCAGTCATGTGGAGTTGTGATCTGTCCTATGTCTTGATGGGTGCTCCTGCTGCACGATGCCAGGCTGATGGGACATGGAGTCAGCCCAAACCAAACTGCATCTGTGAGTTGGTCACAGTAACCACTGCTTGTATGCATAACGAAAGGAAGTGGATTGCTGTTGGGTGTCGTAGTAGTAACAGTTGTTGTTGCTGTTGTTGTTGATGTTTTTGTTGATGTTGTTGTTGTCGTCGCTGTTGTTGTCATCGTCATTGTTGTGGTATTCCTAAAGTTTACTTTTCTTTAGGCACATGGGATGCTGCCTTCTCATCAGATCAGAGGGTTAAACATCCAATTCCTACAGCAATGAAAAGAGTCGTAAATATTTTTTACTTTGCATTAATTTTTGGCTGACGGAGATCTTTGCTCAATGCGTACCTTGTAATGCACAATACCAGATCTATAGCGTATGTGACTTAGACTTATTGTGCTTACGTAGTTACAGTTAAACCTGTCTAAGACGACCACTCACGGGACCTTCAGAATGTGGTCTCTGTTACCAGGTGGTCTCCTTATCCAGGGTTGTTTGACTGGAAATGGCATCCCTTGATCCTGGTTTCAGTGGTCTTCTTGGACAGGTGGTCGGCGTATCCGAGTGGTCGCCTTGACAGGTTTTACTGTATGATGAAAGAGATCATGGGAGGGAGGGCCCAGGAGCTGGAGGCATTCTGACATGGCCGCTTGAACTCATCTCAATTTTAACAAATCAAAATTGTTTTGCTTCCATTCAAATGTCTTCTTCTCCAGTGGCAGAATGCGAGGACCCGGGTGTACCGGACAATGGCTACCGACGCATGACCACAGCTACAGTACGTAGTGCAAGGTTTCTCATTCAGAGGACCAAGTACCACATTTTATTGGAAATGAGAACTTCCACCCATTCCTCAGTTTGTGATAGGTTTGAGGGATTTGCCATTGTGTTGCAGTTGTCTGAAGACTACTATGTTGCATAGTCATATTGGCGCTTGTAACTTACTACCAGAATGTGAAGTATCAATTGCATCTGCAATTTGATCCTTCCGGGAAGCGGTATTTCTGTAGACGTGAAGGCGGTCTGACTGATTATGACTCCAGGCACGGATTTGTTATCACATGAACTTGGCTGACTGATGCAATACCGTCATCCTACAAGACGCTTGTGATTAGTAATGTGTGCTCAGTCGTTTGGTGGATCACCTCATCTTGAGTGTTTGGATATGTATATTTCCCCAGATTGGCTCAACTGTTGACTACTTCTGCAATGAGGGATATGAGCTTTCAGGGCCCTCAAGACGTACTTGTACGCCAAGTAGAGTCTGGGATAGATCTCCACCAGTTTGCAATGGTAAGTATGGATGTATTGGTATATCTGTATTCAGTTGTATGTCTGTATTCTATGGTTGTGGCATGCATGATGTGTTGCATGCTGTGATTGCCATTCTAGACATTTAGGTGACTACAGTGTACTTTGAGATCGTTCTGTCTACCCGTTGGAGCGTTGAAATGTCCCTTTCCTAATTGCGATAGGTTTTAAAGTAGCCTTATGTGATGAGTTTGTAGATAGAAGAGCTGATGCTCTCTGTTGTTGCAATTATCCATCCTTCTCATCCCCGGCATTACTACTTCTGTTTTTCTCCCTACAGTCATCATGTGTCCCGACCCACTGGCCCCCATCAATGGTGGGCGTACCGGTGATGATTTCGGCTATGCCATGTCCGTCAGGTTCAATTGCAATGAGGGATACCGGCTGAGAGGTCACCCCGTCGTCATTTGCTTGGCCAATCGCACCTGGTCCGACCCCACACCAATGTGTGAAGGTAAGGGTGCTCTTGAACCCGGTTATGTGTAGAAGGGAGCTCACTGACTTGTCAGTTTGAGCACTCTGGCAAGGTAGGTTCGGGCCTGGTTTAAATCTGGCTTTGGAAAATGTATTTTTCACTGCTATCAGGTTTGGCCTCATTTCCTCTGTGGTGCGCTGATGAGTCCACAAAGGACGAAACAGTTCTGTCCGCAGATTGTGTAAAAGGGTATGTATCGGTATGCATCTCTGTGTGGCGTGTCACTGTTGGTGGATCGTAGTACTATGATCAGTCGCCCTGTTAATAAGCCACTGAGTACAGGACTGGTCCCTTGCTAAACTGATGCTAGCATCACATACAGTCAACTTTGCTTCTAACGACACTCAGCGGGGCATCAGGATAGTGTCCTTATTCGCGAAGTGTCCTTATACCCGAAGTCTCATTATAAGTATACAGCTTGCTGTCTACAGCATTGGGTAAGTATATAGGTAGAAAGGACTTTGCTCTGGGCATGGAAATTCTGTTGTTATTCGCGAATTGTCGTTAATTATCCGCAGTCGTTATTAGCAAAGTTTACTGTGCACCTGATTTTCCTCATGCACAACATTGGACAATACCTGCACATTGCTGCACTGAGTGGAACTAAAATTTAATTCAGCTTCCTCTCATCTGTGTACTTGTCTTGTATGCCATTCCGCTGGGCAGAGATTGACTGTGGAGACCCAGGACGGGTTGTCAATGGCCGACGTGCTCTCACCTCTACTGTCTACGACAGCCGTGTCGGCTACTCATGTAACAGTGGTTATGAACTGGTCGGGGATGCCAGTGCCAGGTGTCAGCTGAATGGACAGTGGAGCAGCCCACCACCGCAGTGTGTCCGTAAGTACCTTTGAAAACGCCCTCATTTTTTGCATGAATGTGCTGACTTGGATGCACAGCAATTCGTTTGTATAATATCCAGGGAACTACCTGAGGTGTGTGGGGGGGGGGGGGGGGGGGGCAGGGCGGGGGGGGGCAGTTAATATTGCCTTGTCACATGAAATGTAATGTACAGGCTCAGTGAGCACCCAGAATAATCGATTTGCTGCCGCCCATTTTTGTTGTATTAACTGGGACGCGAAGTCGAAAAATGGGTAGGTGCGGAGCATTTCCACTGGGAGGTGCGCCATCAAGAGTAGGGGGCTGCTCCTCCCCCTTAGGCTAGAAGCCTGATATCAAGGTAGTTGCAATGCTGATTCTTCCCATGCAACCTTTATCCATAACTGGCATATATGTTTGGAACTTTGCTCAGAGTGCTGGATCTTCTGAACAATTCACATGTTAGATCAAGGTTGAGCACATTCCCATTGTCCAAGTTTGCATTTTCAACTCAGTGCTGTGTGGTAATTACTGGCAAGGCTTTTTCCGAACACTTGATCATGCATGCAGCTTGTCGTACACCCTCTACCAAATACTAGCCGTGACTGTTTTTGCTGGAACTGATCTAGTTCTATGCTTCTTCTTGTTGTTGTACTCACTTCAGGGAGACGTTGTGCTGATCCTGGCACACCGGCCCATGGTAGCCGGACTTTAGAAGGTCTCGAATTCACAGATGGAGTGACGTGGCAATGTAATGTCGGATATGTTCCTCTTGGAGCCACCAATGCAGTTTGCCAGGCCAACGGTCAATGGAGCAGTCCCGTGCCAGTCTGTAACCGTAAGTAGAGACATAGTGAAGTCCAGGTTTCTGTAAAACAATCTTGTACATCCCATACATCATGCAATTTGTTTTCTTTCCTCTTACTGGTTTGAACAAAGCTCCTGTAGCCTTTCTAAGCTCTTCTGTTCTTGTTTTGTCGGCCATGTTTCACAGCAATCATGTGTGCCGACCCAGGCGAGCCAACATTCGGAAGTCGTCAGCTGGAGGGACTGGTCTACCAGAACCGTGTTGACTGGGCTTGCGACGAGGGTTACAACCTGGTCGGATCGCCGTCTGCTATCTGCCAGGCCGATCGTACCTGGACTAGCCCTGTGCCCGTGTGCGAACGTAAGTTTCATTATTGGTGTCGTCGGTCCTTGTTTGAGGCTATGCGGAAAGAGCTAAACAAATCTTCCTTTATCTTTTCTTGAGAGTTTGACCATTCGATCTTTGTTCATTGTCTTGCAGCTGTTGACTGTGGAGATCCAGGAACCCCTACCAATGGCGGTCGTCGTATGAGTGGTACCATTCTGGGCGACCAGGTCACCTTCTCATGCGATGCTGGATACCGTATGGATGGTGATTTACAGGCGGAATGCTTGCCCACTGGTTCATGGTCTCGGCCACCACCACGCTGTATCAGTAAGCATCATGCTATGACGTCATCTGATGTTCAAACATTACTCATACATCATATAGTTTTCACAGTCCCGGTCTTTGCACATTGGCGTGGCCATCTGCTCCTAGTTTGTAACGTTACATGCATCCGTTATTGATGTTTAAAATAGCATGCTCTACATAGCATCACTGTATTCTGACTCAGGCCTCCGCTCAAGCCAGTCTACACGTTTCAGACCACCTCTATTTCGTACGGCCATAGCATAGGTGACCACTACTCTCTTGCTCACTCTTTCCCTCACCCTTTCCCTCACCCTTTCCCTCACCCTTTCCCTCACTCTTTCCCTCGCTCTTTCCCTCACTATTTCTCTTGCCTTGTATGTATGCAGTTATCGAGTGTGCAGACATCTCTCCACCGGTCAATGGCAACAGGGTGTTATCAAGTCGCATTGTGAACTCTGAAGCTACGTTCACCTGTAATGAAGGCTACACTCTTGTTGGAACCACGTCTGTCACCTGCCAGGAGACTGGATTTTGGACAGATGTACCGCCAGTGTGCCAGAGTAAGTGCCAGAATAGTACCGCCAGTGTGCCAGAGTAGGTGCCGGAATAGATATCTTCAGAGCCTGCAGCACAGTCATGAAGCTGATTGTTGAGTTGTGAAGTTCACCTACCCTTCAGGTAGACCTCACCTCAACCTCACCTTGCCCTGATCATAGTCATGTGTATCCATGTTTGACTTGGGTGTTGTTGGAGAATCGGTTCAATTAATTCATGATTCTGCATGTATTGATCATGGTATGACTAACGAGCTAACACTTGTGCATTGTGACTTTGTGCCTTATCGCAGTCGCTAATTGACCAGCTAATACTTTGTGCATTGTGCATGTGCATGTGTGTGTGTATAATATGTGTGTTGTGTTGTTGTTGTTGCAGTCGTCGATTGCCGTGCACCACCTCCGATTGAGAACGGTATCATTGATTATGGCCAGACAACATTCAAATCCCAGGCCCGCTACAAGTGTGATGTTGGCTACAACCTCATTGGTGCCAATGTGCGCGACTGCTTCGCAAGTGGTATTTGGAACCCAGCCGCTCCAGTCTGTGTCAGTAAGTGGAGATATTCTAACAAGTGTTGTACTAGTGATGGAAGCTAGTCTAGTCCTCCTGTTGCAGAAGAAGAAGAAGCCCACCAGTAGGATTCAATGGTAGCACCCCTGTCCCGGTACCAGGCGCGTAGTACTGCAGTTGGAGGTGGTCTGGCTGGAGGGGGGGGGGGGGGAGGGTGCAGGGTCTCCCCGGGAAAAATTGAAATTAGGGTGCAAAATCCTGCCTTTTGGGTACTTTTGGCATTGTGTTAAAAAAAAGTGGCCTGGCCAAAGCCGGAACGGCTGCTGCACCCCTGGTAAGCTCTTTCACCTCCACAGCATTGTGAGTATGCACCGCCAAACAATGGTCACAATCAAGAAGGGGTTCTAAAATGAGGGATTGGAGAATATCACAGAAAGAAAGAAAAAGATTGCTTGGATGCTGTTGCATGCAGGTTTGTTCTCGAGACTGTCTCTGCCGATGTGCTACAATCATGTGTTTGCTTTGCACAGAGGTTACATGTGGCAACCCTGGTGTCCCCGCTAACGGTCAGCGTATCGGTAATGACTTCTCCTACGAGGCGAGAGTGGAGTTCACGTGCGATGCAAACTTCCAGCTTAACGGTCCAATTTCAGCAGTGTGCCAGGATGACGGCACGTGGAGCAACCCACTGCCAAGCTGTGATCCTGGTGGGTGATGGTCTCTTCTCTCAAACCTGTTATTTGTCTTTTTACACATGCGTATTGATGTATGTTATTAGGCATTAGCATTAGCATTAGCATTGATGTATGCTATAGCCCCCCCCCCCCCCCCCCGGCAAATCTGCACCAGAAGTCACCAAGAATATGCATCTATGCTATAGCCCCCGGCAATCTGCACCAGAAGTCACCAAGAATATGCATCTATGCTATAGCCCCCGGCAATCTGCACCAGAAGTCACCAAGAATATGCATCTATGCTATAGCCCCCGGCAATCTGCACCAGAAGTCACCAAGAATACGCATCTATGCTATAGCCCCCGGCAATCTGCACCAGAAGTCACCAAGAATAAGCATCTATGCTATAGCCCCCGGCAATCTGCACCAGAAGTCACCAAGAATATGCATCTATGCTATAGCCCCCGGCAATCTGCACCAGAAGTCACCAAGAATATGCATCTATGCTATAGCCCCCGGCAATCTGCACCAGAAGTCACCAAGAATATGCATCTATGCTATAGCCCCCGGCAATCTGCACCAGAAGTCACCAAGAATACGCATCTATGCTATAGCCCCCGGCAATCTGCACCAGAAGTCACCAAGAATATGCATCTATGCTATAGCCCCCAGCAATCTGCACCAGAAGTCACCAAGAATGTGCATCTATGCTATAGCCCCCCCGGCAATCTGCACCAGAAGTCACCAACAATATGCATCTATGCTATAGCCCCCGGCAATCTGCACCAGAAGTCACCAAGAATATGCATGTAGTTATCAGAATCCGCTGAAATACCTGAGAAAGCAGCTGTGCTGTGACCGTTACGTTTGCGCACGTTCGAGTGTACTTGTGACCCGGCAGACACGTGGTTTGAGAACAGTTGAACGCTGTGATTATTCTCCGTTGAGAGTCTACAAGGGATGTGATGTGTTTCTCGTAGTTGATATTGTAGAATATATGATGTAGAAATCGCATCATATCCATGCTGTGTTTCATTCTCTGTGATGTTTAGATTGCTTGGTGAGCAACTTTGGAGCCTATGGGGCATGTAGCGTGACTTGCGATAATGGCACGCAGGTTGCTACTCGCGCTATCATTCAGGCTCCCTCCGGCCTTGGCTTCCCGTGTCCACCTCTGATGCGCTCACAAGGATGCAACCTAGGACCATGCAGTAAGGGCATACATCATACGGTAGCATTGATAGATCTCAATGTTACTGCTCTTGGGTTCTATTGGCTGCACAATTATGTGTGCGTGTGCCATGTGTGTGTGTGTGTGTGTGTGTGTGTGTGTGTGTGTGTTACATGAGTACGCGTGTGCATGTATACGTGCATATGGTACGATACCATGGAATGGTGTGGAGATTATTTGTTGCCAAGTAGCTAGGAATCCCACTTTGTTTGTGATCTTGCTCAATTCAAGCTTGCATGCCACAGTGACCATCCGTCTTCATGTACCAAGAACCATCATGCTTGCTTCCTTTGCTTCTGCTTGTGAACTGCAGTCCAGTGTGAGGACAGATTCCCAGAAGGAGCCGTTGTGTATCGTCTTACACAAGTTGATGTGAGCTCATCCACTCGTATTCTGATTGTTGTGGATGAGTCCAATTCCATGGAAGGAGAGCATAGGTGGCTGAGAGAAATGATTTCCGGCTTGGAGCGAAACCTTGTCGAAGACGGTAAGTTATCTGAGATTGGATTTAGTGTTTGCTTACCGCTATCCAATTTGCATGTTGTAACAGTACTTTGAAAACCCACTCATGTTGGATAGGAGTTCTGCTTGTTGTGGGTCGCTGAACAATTTCCTGCCAAAATAAGATAACAATAAAAATAGAAACTCGGATGTTGAGCCATGAATAAATGTGGAAGAGAAAAGGACATATGGATACGAGTTAAGAGTAACTCTCCATCACTGTAACATGATACTATATACAGTCAGAAAGTGCAATAACTAGGCACAAAACTGACAGAGTACTGAAACATTCGACGTCCTGACACCTAGCTTCAACACATCTCCGTAGCGCTAACCGACAGCCTTCCAACTTGGAAGGTTCAAGGTTATGGAAAAGACCAAAGAGGGGAAGGCAAGCGCAACGAAAACGATCAAAAGCCACAGTCCCAACGGAACAAAGAATGTCGATTGTTACTGGACGATGACGAGACCAGTACGATATTTGACAAAGCGGTCTAACTACAATTCGAAGCAGCAAAGCAGCACACCACCCAACTTGGGTGGGTCATAAATATCAAAGATAAGTAAAGAAAGGGAAGCTTTGCGAAAACGAATTGTACAAGCCGAAAGCCAAACTCCTACAGTACTCCTCATGCATGACATTGTGATGGACTAGTTGACTACAAAACAAGTTGTTTCACACGACGTACGTTTCGCCGTATGGTTCGTGACGGCTCATCAGGTGTGCAATTTGAAACTCGGATGTTGAGCCATGAATAAATGTGGAAGAGAAAAGGACATATGGATACGAGTTAAGAGTAACTCTCCATCACTGTAACATGATACTATATACAGTCAGAAAGTGCAATAACTAGGCACAAAACTGACAGAGTACTGAAACATTCGACGTCCTGACACCTAGCTTCAACACATCTCCGTAGCGCTAACCGACAGCCTTCCAACTTGGAAGGTTCAAGGTTATGGAAAAGACCAAAGAGGGGAAGGCACCTGATGAGCCGTCACGAACCATACGGCGAAACGTACGTCGTGTGAAACAACTTGTTTTGTAGTCAACTAGTCCATCACAATGTCATGCATGAGGAGTACTGTAGGAGTTTGGCTTTCGGCTTGTACAATTCGTTTTCGCAAAGCTTCCCTTTCTTTACTTATCTTTGATATTTATGACCCACCCAAGTTGGGTGGTGTGCTGCTTTGCTGCTTCGAATTGTAGTTAGACCGCTTTGTCAAATATCGTACTGGTCTCGTCATCGTCCAGTAACAATCGACATTCTTTGTTCCGTTGGGACTGTGGCTTTTGATCGTTTTCGTTGCGCTTGCCTTCCCCTCTTTGGTCTTTTCCATAACCTTGAACCTTCCAAGTTGGAAGGCTGTCGGTTAGCGCTACGGAGATGTGTTGAAGCTAGGTGTCAGGACGTCGAATGTTTCAGTACTCTGTCAGTTTTGTGCCTAGTTATTGCACTTTCTGACTGTATATAGTATCATGTTACAGTGATGGAGAGTTACTCTTAACTCGTATCCATATGTCCTTTTCTCTTCCAAATAAAAATAGAGAGAGTATAATAGACAAGAAAGGGTTTGCTCCCCACACCGGAGCTCGCGCTATTCCGCCGACTTTACTTGACACTTGACTGACTCACGACTGCCATCCAGAGCACACGAGAAGTCCATCGAACCTTCGACTCGGCAAACCTGCAAGAAAGCACCACTCCCTGCTCAATACACAGTGTTTCGGGGAATTCACCCCTCATCAGTTGAGCTTGAGTAGGCTGAGGAAGATTGTGCCTGAAGAGCACCACTTATATAGTGCTCTCCAGGTACAAACATCACCAGGGATACAAACTTACAGAGACGCTCCGCTTCCAGCGCGATAAACACCTCGTGAACACCAGATAGCAGCGTGAGTCAGTGTCGCTCCTGGACGGTGAGACCGTGAGCGACACTGACTCACGCTGCTATCTGGTGTTCACGAGGTGTTTATCGCGCTGGAAGCGGAGCGTCTCTGTAAGTTTGTATCCCTGGTGATGTTTGTACCTGGAGAGCACTATATAAGTGGTGCTCTTCAGGCACAATCTTCCTCAGCCTACTCAAGCTCAACTGATGAGGGGTGAATTCCCCGAAACACTGTGTATTGAGCAGGGAGTGGTGCTTTCTTGCAGGTTTGCCGAGTCGAAGGTTCGATGGACTTCTCGTGTGCTCTGGATGGCAGTCGTGAGTCAGTCAAGTGTCAAGTAAAGTCGGCGGAATAGCGCGAGCTCCGGTGTGGGGAGCAAACCCTTTCTTACAAATCATCGCCGAAGTCGCAACCACTACTTCGTAGTATAATAGACACATAATAGTATTGTGCACTTCAAGACTAAGGTATCGTCCTTCTCACTCCTTTTCTTCTTCCGTCTGCTTCAGGAATTGGCGTTGATCCATCCCAGCCCAATATGTACAGTCTTGTGGGATATGGTCGACGTTCACCAAACTACACTGCTGCATTCCTCGAGGACGATCAAGGACGGCGTGTGTTCACCAGTGCTAGCTTCGGTGAGGCAGCAGCTCGCCTGTATGCTGATCCCGAAGGCAGAATTGAAGATGGCTACGAGGCCATGGCCTTTGGACTCAAGGAGCTTAATTACCAGGCCGATCCGAGCATTGCACATAATCTGATCTTCATCTCTGATGAGGATCGTGATGTGACCAACGAGGGAAGAGAAGTCACCAGATCGGTTATGAAGAGAATGCTGCGTCAAGGCGACTGGCTTCTCAACGCTGTCGTGGACAACTCATACACCTGTCGCGGAACCCCGGCCATTGGCGTCGACAGCAACTTGGTTGCTTACCTGCCAAGAGGTGCAGGAGGTTACGACGCTTGTAACACCAGTACCGTTGTAGGACCTGGCTATGCCGGGACAAGAAGGGATTATACTAATCTTGCCTTGGAGCTGAAGGGAGCAGCATGGGACATCAATGTCCTGCGTACCGGCGGTCCGTCCAGTGCTAGCTTCACCAACGCCTTCACCGACGTGAAGACGTCTGAGATCCGCAGAGCGACAGACCTGTGCCGTCGCTGTGTTTGCAGAGACTCCAATGGCGCGGGAGCATTCAGCTGTGCGGCAGACCAAAACCAGGAGCGTTGTTCTTGCATTGCAGAGGCTGGACAGGTATGTTTAAAAAGTTACACTCACATAACAACACGTCGGAATTGCACGATTGCACGATTGCCACAACAATGTTATTTCCCTCCCAAGGCACATTTTTCATACCCAATAAATCACTCATGGCTCATAACTTATCTCCTTATTACTGTGAACCAAATCAGTAGCTACATCCATAGCTAACTGCTGTGTTGACTATGAGCAGATCCAGTGACTAACCCTAGCTCACCAACACAGCAGTGAAGGCCCCGGCTGAAACGCACTGTGTATGTGTGCATCGGTGTTGCGTTGCTGTTCTTCTCCAGTGGGACGAGGCACGATCAGCATGCGTGGGACTGCCCGAGGCTCGGCCATGCATTGTTGGACAGTGGACCGCCTGGGGTAGGTGCTCGGCAAGTTGCGGAGTAGGCTCCCAGGTGCGTAGACGTGAAGTACTCCAGCAACCTGACTCTCGTGCTGGAGCATGTCCCAATCTGCGCGAGACTACTACCTGCAGCCTCCGTGATTGTCCACAAAGTGAGTTCTTCACTGATCTTGTACGCTAACTTCTTAGCTCAACGCTTGCTTGTGCCTACTGCTCATGCTCTTTTCCATGCATGCTCTTGACGCCAATGTAGATCTCCCACAAAGCACTCACGGTAACAGTTAGGTGATGCAACTATGCATCTACACTTGACTATGTGACAATGTGACTAAGTCTTGCTCAGGAATCTTGGGACGGAAGTGTGTGCATGATCTACTTCAAAGTAGCACACTTAGAGTATACACCCAGTGGGGGAAAGCTACCAGGTAATTAGAGTTCTGGATAAGAGAGTTCTGGATAAGAGAGTTCTGGATAAGAGAGGTCTGGATAAGAGAGGTCTGGATAAGAGAGGTCTGGATAAGAGAGGTCTGGATAAGAGAGGTCTGGATAAGAGAGGTCTGGATAAGAGAGGTTTTCATAAGAGGTCTGGATAAGAGAGGTCTTGATAAGAGAGTTCTGGATGTAGAGGTCGCACATGACATGCATGTGGCCAGTTTGCCATGGGCAGTTCTCTATTCCTTGATGTCTCTTTCTCTTGTCGCCTACTGCAGACTGCGCATACCCTGGTACCATTGTCAATGGTGGACTGAACTTGCCCAGCAATGTGGCAACCTTCTCACCAGGAACAAGAGCTACCTACAACTGCAACTCTGGCTATCGCCTGCAGGGTGCATCCTCCATTAATTGCATGCCAGATGGCCGCTGGGATATGCCATTGCCTGTGTGTATTGGTGAGTCCTGCTTGAAGGAGGAACCCCGCAATGCACATGCCTTACCGGTACCGCAGCTAATTATGGCTAGTCTGCATGGGATACTTGACTATGAAATTGCAATCGGTGAACCTTCTTCGAGAATGCACGTGACACAGTGTGTGTGTGTGTGTGTGTGTGTGTGTGTGTGTGTGTGTGTGTGTGTGTGTGTGTGTGTGTGTGTGTGTGTGTGTGTGTGTGTGTGTGTGTGTGTGTGTGTGTGTGTGTGTGTGTGTGTGTGTGTGTGTGTGTGTGTGTGTGTGTGTGTGTGTGTGTGTGTGTGTGTGTGTGTGTGTGTGTGTGTGTGTGTGTGTGTGTGTGTGTCTGTACTCACATGTGTTCCTGTGTTCATGCATGGTTTGTATGGTCCCTTGTTGTAGGCCTTGAGTGCCAGCCCAGGGATGTGACGTACGAAGCCGATGCTGGAGCAGCGGGCCTTGCTGCTGATGTCTACCTGGTCATTGATCAGTCTAGGAGCATGGAGGGTGAAATTGCCTGGCTGCCTGGTTTTATTCGCAGCCTCGAGACTAACCTGCGTGCCAAGGGCATTGGCTCGGAATCAGCTTGTCCCAATATGTACTCAATCACCGGTTATGGTCGCTCAACCCCCAATCATCTTGGCAATGTCTTCACGGACTCTGATGGATCAACCTGCTTTATGGCATCCAGATTCAACTCGGTGAACCGCCAAGTGTCGGCCGACCAGAACGGACGTGTTGAGGATGGCTATGAAGCATTGATCAAGGCCCTAGACGGGGTGAGTTTGTTTGGTGTTACTATAACAATGCTACAGTACAGTACTGTCAGATGCCGAATATCCTTGCGTGGCTTAGTGACTGTGTATCGGACGGTACAGTATACGCTGCATGCCGAATATCCTTGCGTGGCTTAGTGACTGTGTATCGGACGGTACAGTATACGCTGCATGCCGAATATCCTTGCGTGGCTTAGTGACTGTGTATCGGACGGTACAGTATACGCTGCATGCCGAATATCCTTGCGTGGCTTAGTGACTGTGTATCGGACGGTACAGTATACGCTGCATGCCGAATATCCTTGCGTGGCTTAGTGACTGTGTATCGGACGGTACAGTATACGCTGCATGCCGAATATCCTTGCGTGGCTTAGTGACTGTGTATCGGACGGTACAGTATACGCTGCATGCCGAATATCCTTGCATGGCTTAGTGACTGTGTATCGGACGGTACAGTATACGCTGCATGCCGAATATCCTTGCGTGGCTTAGTGACTGTGTATCGGACGGTACAGTATACGCTGCATGCCGAATATCCTTGCATGGCTTAGTGACTGTGTATCGGACGGTACAGTATACGCTGCATGCCGAATATCCTTGCGTGGCTTAGTGACTGTGTATCGGACGGTACAGTATACGCTGCATGCCGAATATCCTTGCGTGGCTTAGTGACTGTGTATCGGACGGTACAGTATACGCTGCATGCCGAATATCCTTGCGTGGCTTAGTGACTGTGTATCGGACGGTACAGTATACGCTGCATGCCGAATATCCTTGCGTGGCTTAGTGACTGTGTATCGGACGGTACAGTATACGCTGCATGCCGAATATCCTTGCGTGGCTTAGTGACTGTGTATCGGACGGTACAGTATACGCTGCATGCCGAATATCCTTGCGTGGCTTAGTGACTGTGTATCGGACGGTACAGTATACGCTGCATGCCGAATATCCTTGCGTGGCTTAGTGACTGTGTATCGGACGGTACAGTATACGCTGCATGCCGAATATCCTTGCGTGGCTTAGTGACTGTGTATCGGACGGTACAGTATACGCTGCATGCCGAATATCCTTGCGTGGCTTAGTGACTGTGTATCGGACGGTACAGTATACGCTGCATGCCGAATATCCTTGCGTGGCTTAGTGACTGTGTATCGGACGGTACAGTATACGCTGCATGCCGAATATCCTTGCGTGGCTTAGTGACTGTGTATCGGACGGTACAGTATACGCTGCATGCCGAATATCCT